TAATCAAGCGGTTTAACTCGTGCTTACCGGCGCTCTTTGGTCCGTGGAGTCCAGGGTTTGAAGCCTGTCATCGCCACCGAACTTTGGTTGTGGGCAGCTTAATACCGTTCTTAACTTAGCTTGGCCTTTTGTGGTTAACCACTCAAAGTCCTGGTGTTTCGGCTGTCGGTTTCTTTGGGTGAACAGCAGGCCCATAGGGTTTGTCCCGTCTCCAGTTTTCGCATTCGGCTCGTTAAGCACTTCAGATATATTGGTGTTCAAGTACTGCCTGCTTTTGTGTATACTGTGTGGGAACACTATGACACCTCCGCCTTACGTAATATGACGGAATACAGTTTAGCATCACATACCAGATGACAAGGTGTGATGTTTTTTTATAAACTACTCACATTGAATTACACATCGAAGTAAACTACATACACCGTTTGCTCCTACAAATCGTAGGTGACTGCACACTACTCTATTGCTACTCTGGCTGTGGAGAACACTGGCGGCACTCCTGGTCCATTGTCCACCGAAGTGAATTCAGATCCATTATTTCGTCCGATTTGCACTCCCCTGGTTGTGGATCTGTGTTCGGACAGTGGGGCCGGTGGATCAACACAAAGTGGTCCCCAGTCGAACGAAGCTAGCGGGAGTGGAGAAAGCGCAGTGATTAGTGCCGCAGCTTCCCAAGCCACATCCAATGCTGTTGGACCACCGTCAGCACCACCAGGACATCACGATCTCATCGGTCCGGATGGGCTGGCTATCGGAGATGGCAGTACCAGTGCGAGTAGCAGCAGTCTCAGTTTGAATGTGAGCAGCGGGAGTTGTTGTGTACCACCAGGACAATCCGGATGGTCAGCTGGTGCTCCCGCAAACAGCAACGAGCCACTGTTTCACGGTCCTCGTAACTCGAGTAAGTTTTGTTATGTCTCTTTTCTCTCTCTTTCCTTCGATTACGTGCTGTGGAGTATTCAACAATAAGTAATTGATCCAATTTAATTGTGAAAAGACCACGAACCACGGTGGGATTCATGCCCACTCATGACCCTTTANACCCTTTAGGATTCTCAGGGGGAACCTATTGTAGTAGTCAGCTACCTGATGTGTCCATATGCTCCTGCAAATCGAATGGGTAATCAGTTGTGAAAAGATGGGAGCAGTAGGCTTGGTCTCGTTGCCCTACTGGTAGAACTTGAGCTGTGCATAGAAATGGGCGACGTGCAGGTTTAGATTCTAATCTCACCCAGAACTAATTATCTTTTGATTGACTATAGACTGACTATCCTTTGAACTTCATCTTCACGCACAATCCTGAGTTCATCGATTCAGCCATACACTCGGAAGCACTAGACTCGAGTTTCGCGCTTAATAGAGTTCATCAGTCCGAGATTTTCACGTGAATGAACTGAAAGTTCCCTCAAATCTACCGTTCAAGGACAGTGAAATAAGTAATTGATTAATTAATCATTTTCACTCACCTACTGGGACGTGTGTTCTTCGAGGTTGGATGTTGTACTTTGTACTGCATGCATTGTGTAGACAAAGTTTTATTATCATGTCCCATAGGAATTCTGCAAAATGTTTTGGACAACTTTACAAATAGAAAATAATAATAATATACACGATTACTCAGAGATGTTGAAATTCCAAGTGTTCCAGTGCTTTATCAAACTTCGATTTGAATAATTCAATTGTAGTACAAAACACAATATGAGATAGAAGAGAAGTCTATGCATCACACACTGAATGCAGACGACTGATGCTGAAAATCTGGGTTCACAACTTCAATGGATGTCCCCCCAAGATAAACTTAACACAGAACGGCAAGGGTGGTTGAGTTGATGCAGTATGTATGTATGTCAAGATTAGGTCCCCTCGAAGTCGACCGTACTAAGACGAGTAATGCACCAATATTTGCAGCCTTTCGGAGTATGTCTTGTTATGCAGACCTTTCACCATTTTTGTTCTCAGTCTTTGCGGACGTTCTAGGGCTTTCTTGTCGCGGTTCAACCATGGATTCCATAAGACATGTGCAGGTTCATTTGTCGAAATATTATTTTCCATGCTAATACTGGCGGTGGTGGTGAATTGGTTAGGTCACCAAATAGTGATCTGGGTGTCCCGGGTTCGAACCACTCCACCGTCACCTGTCTTCCCTAGGTGTATTTTCCCCAGGCAGCCTTTGTATGACCGCAGCTTCCTTCCTGAAAGATGACTGTACATTTGTATATTCAATAAATAGAAAAAGGAGGTAAAAAAACATTGTTATTATTATATTTTGGTAAAAATTCAAAGTTCTGTGGAAATCTCAATACGAATACGAGAACTTGCACAACATTTCTCGGATGCTAAGATCAATAAAGATAGTTCTGTGATGGGTTTCAAGGGAAAGCCTTGGGCTCCATCCTTTATTTTAACCATAAATGCAGCAACTTGTACAGTACGTGGGATTTCTTTATCGAACACGTCGGTCTGTTGCGCAAGGTCGGTTAGAAGTCTGAACACGGACTAATCACTACCACGATCGAGTTTTGGTTTTGTAGCCCCACACTGTTTCTTGAACAAAATCCTTCTCACCTTGAATTGGCTGTCCAGTTCATCGTTTCTATGTGATGCATGTTTGATTATTTGAGTTACGGTATCGATGGTGGCCATATTGTGCTAAGGTGTTCACATCGATCCCTTTGTCAACAGTTCAGTTCCCATGTCCGTCCCCCATTGGTGTATGCCTCTCGTACACGAGAGCAATGGTGATTGGCTTGATGTTTAAATCAATTTACCTCATTGTACCGATTTTCCGGGTTGTGTTTTTTTTTCAATTACTTCCAGGGGTTACATGTATCCCTGATACTGAACTGACTACATGTCAGGTCAATGGAAATTGTATTCATTTTCTGCATACATGATATCGCACAAGAAATTATTATCAGCTGGATTAGCATCAGTACCACTAGGGCTTATCATCTCCTGTAAACCGGGACAATCAAATCACCCAACTGATTCTCACGGGTGGTCTTGGAATCCTACTGGGTTGTGTGATCACTCTGCATGCCATCCGTAACCGTTAATATCGGTTTCCTGGCGCAGTATGATAGTTATGACAATGCGGTGTACAGTAGTGTTTATTTGATAGCAAATTAAGTGACATCAGAGTAGTTGTGCATCCAGCTCCAGTAACAATATAGACCACTCAATTACCGTCACCAAATACAACGCTACCAGTCAAAGTTGCTGGTTTGTGTATACTTTGTTTACACCTATCCGTCTTTGTATTCACTAAACAATCATTGTCTAATAATGGTAGCATCGTTTTGCAACCAGTCTATTTCGTGGTCTCCGCCTTCAACCCTTCCTCTACACTCTATCGTTTTTAATGGGGTTTTGTTATTTTTGAGACAGCAGCAGCATCCGCAAAAGGAAGCGCGATAGTTGGACGCATCTTTCACGCCGTTGAAATTGTGTTAGCGCTCATTGTTGTTATTTCATCCTCCTGTTCTTTACTTCCGTTCGTTTTCGTTCCCTTTACTCATTGGAATTAACGGTAAGCAGTATCGTTTGATCCGCATTCGACGCTTCCGCTTCCCGCCTACAGCTTCTCCCCTCTGTGTTTAGTGTGCTACGCCTAATCGCAGTGCTTTTTATCGGTCTCATTGGGTGCAGTGTTTGCCTGACAGTTCACCTCGGTTTCTTCCAGCCATTGTGTGTGTGTTGATGTTCTTTTATCCGCTGTGCCAAATTGACAATTTGCTGCAGATCATTTTGCTTCGATTCTGCACTTTTTTCTTTTCACGAGCTGTTCAATTTTTACGGTGGTTGTTTATTCAACACTTGGAGGAGGGGCGGTTCATAGACAATCCGAGTGAGATACAGATTCTTTCGGAGTGACCTCGTTGCGGTTAAGGACGTGCAGAATATTCGTCAGATCGATTTTGGACGCACATGATCTGGTGAGGTAGATCCTAATTTGGTGGCCACATCACCGATCTCTTGTTCGGACGATGTTCAGGGTAGCATACTTGCAACAGTGTGATTGAGTGTTGTGCTCCAACTCACATGTGATTTTCGATACAATGTACCGTGTTCATTAGGCTAAAGAATTCCCTCTCCTCCGTCAGCTAGTACCCATCATGCGTGGTGCCACCTTAGAACATAGGCACAGAGGCTCTCAAAGATTTTGATTTTGAGCGTTTCTAGTATACATTGAATGATTTATTTGGTCTCCAAAGTTGATTGCTCACTGATTTTCACCCTCCTCTTGAACAAAAAAGGGCGAGAACGACTTCACAAATGGGTCAAGTGTGAGATGGACAGAGATAGGTGACAATTGATACTATAACACTGCTTGGGATGGCTTTGTATCAAGAAATAGCACGATCGGATACCTGGATACCCCCGGGTTAAGCAGAGTTAAGTCCTACCAGGCGCGTCCCCGGGTTGTGGATAGGAACATACCTTCTTCGGTGAAGGTTGGCTGTGAATAAGTTGTGGCATACCGCAACAAATAAGCAGTCACGAACAAACAGCATCGGCACTACCAGGGTGTGATAGATTTCAGGCTGGTCACTTGGCTTCTGTTTAAAAGCTGCATAAGCCCAATGACGGTGTTGTGACAAAGGTCGATGTGATTGGCCTTTAAAAACTAAAGTCATTGACCTCCTCACTTCCGAGGCGAGGGATTGCTTCCTGCTACCTTGCAGCTCGCACTTGGTTGTGCAAAGGCTAGAGGTGCGCCCTCAAAATAAAAAAACGCCGAGTAAAGCTGGGGACGTCTCTCGTACCAAACTCCCAAGTAACTTTAGGATCATGTGATCTACGGCGGCAATTGGAGACATTCGTGGAGCCGGCTTTTCCTTTCCAAGGAGCCAGCTATAGTAAAGTAAAGTAAAAGTAACGATCGGATGGGATTACCGCCTCCCCCCTCCGAAACTTGTGATCTTTTCCGTCGCTATTTGTAATCTTTTGCGCTCCATCGTTTTTCACCGATTTCTATCCATACACGAACCGAATGTTTCATGTGAACTTATTTGGACACCTTGCGAATAGTTTATAGTTAAATAACCTACCCCAACCGATTATGTGCCTACGAGCTTTTCGACTGAAGGATGGTCGGGGATAAGAGAGAGAGAGAGTTCGATTCTATGCTTCTCACCGATTTACCACTCCACGAATACGTACTGTCCGTTCGCGACAAACCTAATTTCGTCCGGACTTGTTTGTGTGCACTAGCACCATATCAAAGTGTGATCAACGATCACCATCATACTGTAGTTTCTTTTTCCAGTTTTGGACCGAAATGAGAACCGTTGCGTATCTTTAAACCAATATATTCGTATGATAGATGCTTTTAAATGGGGGCAGAAGGAGCTGTGTAAAGTTGGAACGCAACTGTTGGACTAGTAATACCATCGATCAATGGACCCCCGAAGCTCAGATAAGCTGACAGTACGGGGTCGGGTTCAAGTTCCAGTGAGACTACTGCAGATACACATCGCGATATAGTGCTCTCCGGGGTTCCCAGTGCTACATGTGATATATGGATGATCCATGCTTTCTCCCTCCCTTCAAAACCGTATTCCATTTTCTTCCTTGTGATTAATGCCTACTACCCGCGATTAATCGCTTGGTTACCCCCCCCCCTCCCGGATGTTCATAGGTGCTAAGTTGGGAACAAGAGGAGATTTGGTTTACCCGAGTTGAATTGTTCGGGTTGAGATTGGTAGAAATTTTCACAGCGCACTCCTGGGCCGCGGTCTGTGCTTGTGAATTCCAAACAACATTGATTGTTCTGCGCTTGTGTCACTGATTGACTCGGACCACATGGTCGTGGTGCAGTGGTTTAGTCACTGTTACCGGCGTGCTTTGGAACCTGTGATCCGAGGTTCGAGCCCCGCTACCGCAAACCAACTTTGGTGATAGGTAGCTTTTCTGTTGTCTGGTTCAATACCTCGCCTGACCTAGCGGGGCCGTATGCGGTTGCCACTCCAAGTCCCGGGGTTTAGATTGCCGATTACCATCACTGAATAGTAGGTCTTGGTAACTATGAGGTCCACCCCGACTGCTGTTCATCACACACTGGTGTATAATAAAAAATAATTGGTAGCAATTGGAGTAGGTGGATTGTAAACTGGAATATCAGTTTGGACACTTTGGACGTATGACCACCATTGGAGAGAGCAATAGATCACCGGAACTGTTTTGCGCGCACAGCGGGACTGTTTTTGATTTAGTCTCTAATATTTCCACTGTAAGTAGCAATCGAATTTTGACATCTTTGAAACGGACTCATTGCGGTTGAATAGATTGAATGAACCGAGTCATGCACATCGATTGTGAACTTCGTTTCGGTCAAGCGTGGATCAGCCCAGCCCTCCCCGCACAACTGAAACAAAGTGGGCGATGCTCTCTTTATTTTGAATGCACCGTCTAAAAAAGACTAACGCTCGGAATTCCAATCTGGCTGCATCGTTTCCCCGGATTACGCAATGTCTCATTTTATTTGTTCTTCTCTTACAAATCTTTTGCAATTGTCTCACCTTTGTGATTCATTTCGGTTGTTTTTTTCAAAAGCGCTTTCACATTTTCCTCCTCGTCGCTCACCGGATATCCATTTTTGATCGGTCCAATCTTATCATGAATAATGGGCTCGCTAATTGCTTCTCTAACCGGTCAAGCACATTTTATACGCAATCTACATTGGCTGAACACGATCCACAATGATCCACTGTTATTGAATGAAACAATGATTTGAGGTTGGCAATTCCTTTGGCTGTCTTTTCGTTCCTCGTTCACTAAATATCCAATAGGGCCACATCGGTTGAGCATTGGTCTTAATGGGTTCGTGATTTTATCTAGCATGAAAAATGTGCATATTCGTTGTAACCCCCCAGGGCATCTAACGACAAGTTGCAAATTCCTACTTCAAAATTCGCAGAACCTCTAATAGGATGAATGGAGCAGGAGAATGAAGCAGTTCAAGAGCAACAAATAAACTCGTTAAATTACGTTGAATCAAATAAATAGAAATGCGGATAATTGGGGGCTATCCTAACCAATTTGTGTGTTCACTCCGCATACTGGCACGATCGTGCTTGGATTTGGTTACTGAGTAAGCAAAGGTGGTGTAGTTTGACCCTAGTTCCGTAAACTATCAAGTTGAAACAGTTTCATCATTGGCCCACTTCGTTGCAAAGCCAGTCTGTAGTCACTCGGATCACGTCCACACCCATGATTTTTTTCAAATCTTTTGTCATTCATCTTCCAAAACGTCAGTAAACAAGTGTGTGTGGTTTGCTTGTCCGGACCGCGTTGTATATGCTATCTCTATGCAATCACCTCCCTGATCTTTCTTCCATTTGAGCTTGAAACAAAAAAGCACAATGATTATGATGTCGGCCTAGTACGTGGCTATCACAATCATCTCATATCTATGAAAGATGATAAACTAGTTCGAACTATTTCACTGGTATAGAAAATAATGGGGCTTGTCCTTGTTGTGGGATTCTTTAATCTGACACGCTCGAGTTTGGTGGTCGTGTTTAACATCTTGACATCAAGTGAACGCTTCTTGAATCAGTCTATTGCTATTTCGATACACACAAACGGGATAGTGAACAGATTGGATCATTCGTGTTTACTGTTTCCGCGTTGGGATTGGTGCTGTATAGCACAGTTCTGTAGAATGAGGTCACATGGATGTACTAAATCATCTCAACGTAACTGGGTAAATGAACACTCCTCAACATTCAGATAAGTTGTGATGCGTTTTTTTATGACAAAGCAGTGGCAGGCGAACGTACCACGCGATTTGACCGAGTGGTTTGACCAACTCGCCTTTTTTTGAACTCAATCAGTCCGTTAGCCAGGACTGGTAACCGGTTGGTGTAGCTTACATTTGAATGTGCTCCAACGCACAGGCCTAGGCGGACATTAGACAGACATTAAATGCTGCTAAGTGAAAAAGAGATTTCTGTTTTAGAAACCTGATAGCCTCTGAGCGGTTGACCTCACTAGTTGAACGCTGAGTGATATCCCATGGGTGGCGCAAACCGGATGCATCTAAGGTTTGGGAGTGAGAAGAGAAGGTGGATAAAAAGAGGGTTTTCCAAATGGATACATAAAACTTTGGGGCACGGCATACTTCGCGGTAGCCCACATCGACGGAGGGATTTTTCTTTTAAAACCCCAACCAGAGCCTTTGACTCAAAAGTTTGACCCACAAGGCAATGGGGCGCGGGAGCGTGAACGAAGCCCCTGTGTGGCAGCTTCTGGAGACCTGTTAAGCAAGGCATTTGAACTTCGGTTTAGTGTGTTGTTCGCTGGTGCGTTGGTTGACGGTCCGCTTTTCGGGATCGCCCCTTAGTCTCATGCGCCAAATGAGACAATCGGGACGTGGACGGGACAGCACCTTATTGACTGGGAGTTGCCCAGCTTGGGCGGGCGGTAGTTGTCTAATGAAGTGTGAAGAC